AGGGAGGGAGGGAGAGCGAGCACGCGCGTGCAGCATTCTGAGAACAAGATTCACCAAGTAAGAGAATAGAGACAGTATGGAGTCCCCTGGAAATTTAAGACAATCAATAACTGTTTGGATTCTTTATATTCTACCATATAGCACCTGGCTGGCTCCCAAGGATAAGGCTTCCCTGCCACGCAGTATTCACCTATGATGACACACACAAAAAGAACACAGTCGGGGGATAAGATAGGCTTGTTACATAGGGATCAAGTTTAAATCTGAGTTCTACCAAACACTACAGCAGTGGTTCTCAACCTATAGGTCATGACCCCTTTGTGGTCAACTGACCTTTTCACAGGGGTCACACATCACACGTCCTGCATTATCAGATATTTACATCACAACTCATAAGAGTAGCAAACTTACAGTTATGACGTAGCAACGAAAACAATTTTATGGTTGGTGGGTCACCACAACATGAGGAACTGTATTAAAGGGTCACAGCATTAGGAAGGCTGAGAACCACGGTACTATAGTGTGATTGTGAACAAGTCACTTCCTGAATTTCCATCTTCTCACCACTGAAACAAAAACAATACTGATCTCAAAGGTTGCTTTTGTTATTAATACTTCCCCCAAATAATGCTTGTTATCCAAATGTTATCTTCGTCATCTCTCTGCTCTTCTCCTCACTGTGGGGAAAGGTCTGACAGAAAGCAGATGAAGCATGGAAGGGTTTATTTTGGCTCACGCTTTGAGAGAGTTGGAGTCCATCATGCAGAGAAGCATGGCAGTGGGAGTGTGAGGCTGCTTGTTGACATCTGTGCAGAGCAGGAAGCAGAGAGATGTACACTGGCACTCATGTATCTTTTGTTTTCCTCTTTATTCAGGCTGCACCCTCAGCACATGGGATGGGCCCACCTTCTTCAGGGTGGGTCTTCCCTCCTCAGTCTCTGGAAACTCTACCAGACATGTCCTCAAGTGTGCTCACTAAAGTATTTCCTAATACACCCAAGTTGACAATTGCAAGTAGTTACCACAGCATCCTATTACAATCTGGGTTTGGGTTCACATGCTCTCATCCATTAATCAGGGTGGGACAGGGAGGACATCTGGAAGCCTCTGGTTATGAGTGTCCACTTTAGAAGATTTTCTGCCTTATTTTCCTTTCTAATTTCAAGAACTTCTCTCTCTGTAGGTAGAAGTTTCTCTTCCACCTGCCTGTTCCCAAATACCCAGCAGCCGCTTCTTAAATAATTGACTAAGAGGCTTGGTATTACTTATAAATGCCTGACCAGTAGCTCAGACTTATTACTCACTAGCTCTTACATTTAAATTAACCCATAATTCTTATCTATGTTTAGCTATGCGGCTTGGTACCTTTTCTCAGTCTGACGTTCTTATTTTGCTCCCTCTGCATCTGGCTGGCGATCCTGACTCCACCCTTCCTCTTCCCAGAATTCTCCTAGTCTAGTCATCCCGCCTACACTTCCTACCTGGCTACTGGCCAATCATTGTTTTATTAAACCAATTCAAGTGACAAACCTTTACAATGTACAAGAGCATTATCCCACAGTACCTCTCAACCACACTATCCTGGAGAACAGACTGTATAGCTCAAGGGAACCAATCACAGTTCCCTTAGCTATAAGAGTAACCTTAGCTTGACCAATCAGAACTTGTAATTTCAAAAACTGTCCTCGGGACTGCTGGGTCTTATCTCTGGCTGAGAAAGTTTTCAGAGAGCATAGAGAGCAGAGATGAGAAACACCTGACTTTCAGGGTTCAGAAGTCTCTGAGGTCTAGCTGTACTGTCATGAGTACTGAGCAAATGATTTCCCTATATCTGCATTCTTTAGAGCTGACCTCTGTCACAGCTAATGAAAGAAAGAAGGTGCCACATAGACATGGTGGGCAAGAGTAGATGATTTAAAGATATGTTGTAGCTTGGTGATCTTACATACTGCGATGACAATATAAGGGAGGGTCCAGATGGTGACATCAATTGTAGGTGGTAAGAAAGTAGTGTTGAATCTGATAGGCTAAAAGACAGTCACAACTAGGAACCAGCAAGACGCCACACATGGGGAGAAAAAAAAAGAAGAAGAAGAAGAAGAAGCCACACATGCATGTCTGTAAACAACAGCAGGCACAAAGAGCAAAGAGCTGCAGATAGGATGGGACTCCTGTGATATTTGGCTAAAACCATTAAAAATGTAAGTATTTCAAGTCCCTTGATCATTATAATCCTGGAACCCCATGTGTGGTTTACTTAATGTTTATGTACCTCAGGGTCTACTCTTTCATTTACATTTGTTTTCCACTCATTTCTTAGACATTTCAAGTCTCCTGTCCCTGCTCGGTTAGGACCTGGATAAATGTTGGCAGATTAGTTATGACTTGATTTTGCAAAAGGCACCAGTGACTGACCCAGTGTTCAGATCCAAATCCTGAAGTCTCCCTT